ATTCAAACGAACATTTCACCGTGCCATGGTGCTCATGACCCACCAATGCTTACTATTTTCACGACCTTGGACCGTTTAATGGAGAGATTTGCAATCTCGCTACCTCATTACTACTTCATGGCATCCATAATTTCTTACTCCCTACCTGGCTACGCTTAAATAACAGCGCTGCTGTTGTGTTGACTGGACATCGGGAAGCCATCGCATGTTGGTTATTGCAAATTCATTCTCATCATTGTTTAAAAAGAGGGAAGGAATGAACGCTAACACTCAAAATAGACCAAAGAGACATTAAAGATGAGGGAAGGGTAGGTAGGTCAGCATTCTTATTTGCCCAAAGCTTCATCAGCCTGAGTGCAACAAGCAACAACAAAGGAGGTACGTTCGAATGTAGGCAGAAATAGGTCATTCATTTTAATGAAGGAGAACAGGGATAAACATCAAAGTAGTTAGATTATTATGCACCAAAGAAGGGTAATAAATGCCCCATGGATCACGCGTAGGAACGTCGCTTTTCTAATATGGAGTTGTCTTACCTAATGCGCGTCTACAAAATTTGTCTCAACGTTAATGGAGACGTAAGGGTAGTATTCCCCGTGGCTCATTCCAGCACCAGCCATTTCTTCCTTAAGAGAAATCATGTAAAAAAATCAGTCCAAACGGTTAAGACCGCCAAAATGCCTGAAATACTCACATCAGATGTACTACTTAGGGCTAAGTTGTCCAAGTGTTCATACATGTTGTGGAGAACCTCGCGTAGCCGTTTGTAGTTCTTTCGGTTAGGTACAATAAGTATGGCCTCAAAATCAACAGGTAGACCGTACCTATAGAAAATCAATCTTTAACCAAACAATCGCACTTCATGATTGTGATGGTAATGTAAGTCTTAAGATATCAATCAAAAATAGGGACCTCCAAAGGGTGTGTGTGGACTATCACCCACCTGAGCACAGACTCGACGAAAATCCGGAGAGCTTTGATGTGCATCATGATAGAAAAAGCTTCGCCAAAATTTACTCGAAGCCATCGGAAGAGAGGAGGCTAAAAGTAATACAAATTTTTGAAAATTAGCCATTGACACAACGAACCAAAGTATGGAACTCGGACTCACAAACTGCTTCTTCTTATCGGCTTCAAGCTTAGAAAACATATTCTTACTATCTTCTATCGCCTTCTCGTCATACACGAAGTCTCTGACGATAAACCTTATGAAATGCATTCAATAAACTAATGAATACCTTTTTTCCCGTGCACGTAGAGTAAAATCATTAAGCATCTTCTGGAAAAGAGTTACAGTCCACAGCCCGTTATCCTGGTCCTCAAAAATTAATCTAGACAAAATATGTCCTCAACAACCACTTACTCAGTGGATCTTGGTACCACCATATTCACCAGGGTCTCGTACGTGGCTTCCCATTCTTTGTAAGCTGTTCTAAGAAAAGTATAGGACTCTCAGGTTTATGAGAAATACCTCGGTACTACAACGGCCACCGTTATAAGATACTCAGATCCCAGGACAAATTGCTGTTTCTTCACGATTTCAGCAAGATTTCTAGTCAGTAGGCTACCGCTGTACGGTTGGAAAATACACTTCGTAGGTACTTACGTCTGTTTTTTCTCCAGAGCATGTAATGCTCCCTTTATATTGTTGTAATTTGTTGACCTAACTCTAAGATCAGCTTCAAGCCGTGAGAGATTCTTGGAATAGTAAACCGCGTAAAGGAATTAAGATTTTACCTCCGAGAGAATGTCATAAAGAGACTGAAGTGTTTGTTTTATTGGGTACTTAGCTGTATCCCATTGAAACTGACTAATATATAGGCTAGGAGAAACTAAACAACGAAAAGAAAGAGTGACGAATGGACGCGAATACATCCGTTAACAAGAAGATTGTCCTCCAATTTGTGTCGCTGTTCCTCCAAAACTTCACCCATATACTGGGCAATTTTGCGAGTAACGCTACAAAAAACGGCACTCTTTGGGACCAAATAAAGGAAACAACGAGACATCAAGCAAAGACTTGTACTGATCAGACAATGATGCCAGCTAAAAATTCATCAAATCGCCGGCAAGTTTTTCAAAGTAAACGAGGCGAACAGGCCCTCACTTTTCAGCATATGTGTCCAACTTTCCCAGTTCATCAGATATTCCTACCAAAACATCCAAAGTCCCCACCTGAATTCGCATGAGCAAACATCAAACCTTCAAATTCTGAGGCACAGCGAATTCGGTAACAGATTGAGCGACCGGATACTTTGTAAGACCGGTGCTAAGGTCTCTATAGGCCTTAGTCGGATCTCCTTCTGCAGGAACCGATATTATCAAGAAATCTGACATAAATAACAATGCCGATAAAATACAACTTCAGGAAGCATTCATAAACGCCGCAACTATTGACGGTTTCAAAGACTATAAAATAACATTAAGCATCCTAGATATAAATAACTTTCTACGAAAAAATCATAAATTGTTGTCAAACTTTCGAACGCACTTAGGTTTTCATTTAGTAGAGTATGTGAAAAACACCAGGCATAGTGCATTAATGGGATAGTTTCAATCCGCAAATTATTTCGCCCAGTCAAAAACCACTGCTTCTTTTAAAGTTTATAAATTTATTGTAGCGTCTAGAGGCTTCCCTTAGGATGTAAGAAGACATAAGTGAGGTTGAATACATGTATTCCGGAGATGACAGGGCTAACGGGGCCTGAGCGTGGCACGAAGGCCAACCCCTGTGTACAGAGGCCAGACAAACTCTAAAGTGACCGCCAAACATCATGTGGTCACATAAACAAAGTAATACACTGCTCCTCTCTTCTTTTAAGTGACGTCCTCGGCGCTCCTCTTTGGTACACCTCCCGCGCCAGTCGACAGACAACACGAGAGAGAGGAACCGTACCTGATCTTCTCGACAGCTCCAACTGAATCTGGAGTTATGTTCGGCCTGACAACCAGATCCGGTGCTGCCTACACATGTTGACCATCAATTGCTTCCAGGAAGAGATGATTGAACTCTGGTCTACAACAGATATGTTGCAGGGATAACAGGACGAGCCCCTGTCCTGTATGCCAGGAGAACCGTAGTGTCATTTCCGACACATAAACACGGATTTTGTATGGGAAGCTCCAACACGAAACTTTTCGAGATAGTTCAGGGCGGTGTCGCTTCAGCTGGTAATAGCTTGTTTGCGGAACACGGAAATAAGGTGAAGCCAAATGCAGACGTCAGTCTCAACCCTTTCGTTGTGAAGGATTCAGAGATTAACCGTCAACAAGTAAATACGCCTCCTTCAATTCACGCCCTTTTCGCCTGTATCTTTATTTATTACACTTCGATAGAGTCAGACTTTCTTTCTACACAAGCATAGCTCATGATTGCCAGAATACGCTTCTTAATCTTGAATTTCTCCACTAAAAAGTAGAATTCCTTTGCAGTCATGAAAAAAGAGGTTCTGACTTTCTGGCCGAGGGGACTCGATTTGAGGTATTTACATGCATTGAACCAATGCATTATCCGATCGAACCGTTGCTCGTCGGCTTGTTCGTACTGTTCTTTTGCGGAAATCGGTCGGCTAATTGGCAAAGTTTAGCAACGCAAACGTAGGATGTCAGTAAGACAGCGGTGTCTGTAGAGCAATTAATTTGCCCGGACGCTATGTCGCTTTCAAAAGCACCTTACGCCTAAAAGTCGTTAAGAAAACGTCGGGTTCGCTTTCTGCTGCCAGCAGTGTAGCGTCCCGAGGCTTCCCTTAGGATGGAAGAAGGCATAAGTGAGGTTGAATACATGTATTCCGAAGATGACAGGGCTAACGGGGCCTGAGCGTGGCCCGAAGGCCAACCCCTGTGTACAGAGGCCAGACAAACGCTAAAGTGATCGCCAAACGTCATGTGGTAACATAAACAAAGTATTACATTTACATCA